AAAAGTGCCGTAGAAGCTTTGTTTTTCATAAAATAAAAATGATGAGACAAGAGAACATAATTATATTTAGATATTTTAAATAATTGATGTAAATAAGATCATATAAGTACAGGGTCTATTAAAAGTACGAATTAGTTCTATTTTAGAGGACTTAAGTAAAAGTCTTTATCAGAAGTATTGATCAATACATAATAATCAAACAAGAAATGTCTGAAAATATTTTCATTTATATACAATGTGATTTATTATTAAATTAAACGATTCAACTTTATTTTTAGAATCATTAATATTAATTGTTGTAATAGTGTCAAAATAGTTTTTTCAGCCTTTGATTTCTCTTTATCGTTCATTAAAAATAACCTACAAAAATCTATAGCCAGAGCTCCAAAGATTTTTTTCATTAAATTTTAAATTTTAGTTATTTTGTGAGTTATCTAGTTTCTAGCATGGTATTTTAAATGCAAATTTAAAAATATATTCGGATTCTTAGGTATTATTCAGGGGTTTTGTATATTCGAGTTTTATTTTAAATTTTATAATCTTATATCTCGGAAATTAAACTTTTAAAGGGGTCGTGTTTCTATATAAAAATTGAATATCGCAACATCCTTTAGAATGAGGGTTATTGCACTATGACGGAGGTTTGGTGGGCCCTGTATATTATATTATAAAAATATAAATTCATTTAAAGACAATATTAATACTTATATGAATATTTCAATAAAAATGTAAATGTTTCATAGTGTAATTTGAAAAAACTTGAACAAAGCTGACGTATCAAGGGGTTGATATAGAATTGAACATGATGCGATCATTAGTGTTGTCGGGAATAGAAGATTTTTCCGGGCGTGTTTTAATCGGGAAAATCTACTGGATTTAATGGAGAATCGGAAAGAAATGATGGAACAACAGATGGTACAGATAATGGAGTAGGGAATGAGCGGCTTCAAATGGTGAGTCTTTTGATTTAAATTTAGCTTTATCTGTAAACAAATGATTAAACTGCCTTAATTACCCCTAAGAAATATTAAAAAATTGCATTTTAATCATTTTCTAAATTTATAATTAATTTTTATTTCCATTAAAATTGCTTATATTTTGTTCTAGGAGGAATGAGCGACTTTAAATGGTGAGTCATTTAATTTAATTTCAGTTTTTTAAAAAAATATTGCGACGAATGTTAATTTTTCTTAATCCTTCATTTTCATTTCTATTAAAATATTTTAGACTTATGTTATTATAGCAATAAGAATTATAATTGTAATCCGTTAAGGGTCGCCGAATTTTGTTCAAAAATATTTCTTCTAACCTTCTACAATATATATAAAAAATTATGATTTTAATACTCTTGTTTTTATCAAAATCCATTCAAGATGAGCATAGGGAAATAAACATAAACTTAACTTATTTTTTGATGCAATAATAAAAAAAACCGATGTATTAATTTAAAAAATTGAAAATATTGATGTTCTATTAAATTAAATTATTTCTCACCACGTAATTTCATGTAATAGTTAATTACAACCGTCTTCATTTTAACTCAATTAAAAACCATTCCAATGATAACTAAATTTAGCCAAAAATAAATACTGGAGAGTTATGGGGTTACGTCCAACAGTATGTCAAATGTTGTCAAGGAGGCTGAGGCATATACTATGTAGCCATAATCTATTTTGGTGTTCTATAGAGTGTTAGCAATGTTTTCCCATTTGCACCCTACTTTTTGTTTGGTAGGTATTTAAAAAGCTTCATCGTTTTTTGACATGATATAACTAGTTCACGAATATGAGATTTCCAAGTTAAGAGTTAGTCGAATATCAGGTCTAAATATTTTATTTGTTTAGTATAGGAAAGTATTTCATTGTTGAGTTTTAGAACGGGTGATCTAGGAAGTTGGTTAGGTCTTCTGGAGAAGATAATACACTTTGTTTTTTGAGGAGAAGCGGGAGCCACTTTGTTTCGACCAAATGCTTAGCCTATTTAATTCCTGCTGCTTAAGATGTGCCACGTTTTTCAAGTTTTTACCTTTTGTGAATATTATCAAATCATCAGCAAATAGTCTGGCTTGTAGAGGTTTTTGAGATGATTTTATCACGTCGTTGATGGCTATTAGAAATAAGGTGGGGCTAATAACGGATCCTTGAGGAGTGCCGTTTGTTCTTACTTAAAATTTTTGGATGAACGCTAGAATGTTTCCTTGGTAGCCCAAGAATCTAACGTAGAGAGAATTTTATGGTGCCATGTCATATCGAAAGCTTTTGTTAGGTAGAAGTACCTATATATCCATACATTCTGCTGGTTGGAAAATGCTTCATTGATGTGTGTTTCTAGGTACAGTTCATCAAATTTCTAGAGGCTTTCGACGGCTAGACAGAGAAAGCACTACTGACAGGCATCCCGACGGATTTACGCAATGAAAGTACACTCTGCGCATCAAGTATTTCACTATTTCATTCAGACGTAAATGTCAGATGTAAATTTCGCTAAAACATTTCTTTTATTTTCGTTTATGTTTTTTGCTCATTACAGTTTAATAGAACCTAAGTATGGAGTTTAATAGCAAATTAAGAGGCCGCGTGATTTACAGTCAATCTCGCGAAATAATAGCCAATGTTATAGATTTTATGAGAATAGAAGGAAACTTTAATTCACCTTCAATACCATTTAAAAATGTAAATAATCGTGTTGCTGCAGCCACAGGAGTATCTAAAAACACTGTCGTCCGCATTTCTGGAGAGAAAAAAAGAATCGATAACCGTGAGATATCGGAATTTTCATCACCAAGAAAAACCATTAAAAAACCAAAAACAGTTAATGATATAGATGAAGCTGCACACTTTTTTAATAAAGCAAACAAGTGTTAAGAGGTATATGTACGTGTAAACTACAATTACAAAAAATTGATATGAAACCCATGAAACCACCAACAAAAATGTAAAGCTAGCTTCCGTACTAGAACATGGTGTCATTCGTCGAGATAATTTATCGTTTTGTTTAATAGATCAAGAAATGTAAATATTCCCCTGTTATTTTTTATAAAATTATAAGAGAAATAAATTTTTTTCTAAATAGTATAGTTTATTATTTTGTAGAAAAACAAAATTTCGAAAATATTAGTAATGTTTCAGAAACAACCGTTATTAATAATAGGTACCATTTTCCTTAATAAGGTAGAAATAAAATATAAACTATTTCCACGATTTACAAAGGCCTACAAAAAAATTATAGGTATTTTCCGCTATCCTATAAAATTTATATTTTCTGACTCAATTTCAAAAGGTTGAAGGAATTCCAAAACACCTTTTATGGCATAATAATTATTTTCAATTCTACATACTATCTTTAGCTGCTTTTAAAAACGTTCTAAGAAAGTCCAATCAGACCAATTTAATCCCTAAACTATTCCACACTTTTAAAATTTAATTACCTAAAAATATTAAAAACTATTTCAAATAACTTGTTTAGCAGACTGTACAATAGCTATCTTAGTCACACGTAGCGCGTTCTCTGTATGGGCGTCGAACACCTCTAGAAATTTGATGAACTGTAAACTAGATTATTAGTACTAGACCTACAAGAGCGAAAGACGAAAGCCAGCTTGCTCTGCAATGAGTTGTTTCTTTTCCTCCAGATACCATATCAAGCGTTTGTTCATAAATTTTTCAAATAATTTACTCATGACACATGTTAATGATATTGAACGAAATGAGTTACGACACTTTGTTTTTTAGATTGGTAAAACAATAGCTGCCTGCCATAATTTGGGAAACGGTTGCTGTATCCATGAGGTATTGTAGAAGTTTAAAAAGTGATGTATGTCCCGCATTGGTAATTTTTTCAAAATGCAGCAGGAATGTCATCGGGATACGGTGACGAATCTTTTAATAGAAGGAGAGCGTCTATTAATTCAGAAATGGTGATGATTGGGCCATTATTATTCATTATTTGGATCGGTTTGGTGGGTTCTTCTGTTATTTTATGTTTTATAAAATCCGGGTCGTAATTTTTACTATTGGATGTTTGGGTTATGAAACTGGACAGTTTTTCTACGATTAGCGTTGGATTTATGATGATGTTACCTTGTACGTTTAGTTCTCTGATTCCATGATAGGTTAATAAGGTTGGTGATTGCTAATGAGGAGGCAATGTATGATATCTTAGATTGACGTGTGATTGTTGATAATTTGAGCAGTTTGTGATGGTTAAGGTAATATTGGTTAAAAAGTTGTGGGATTGGGACACTGAGAAGCGTTGTGGCCGGGTTGTTTGCAATTGAAACAGATATGGTTATCTTTGGATAGGAATATTCTGTACGATACTCCGTCTTCGTTTACTTCTATGAAGTCTGGAATTTGGATGTATTCTTATGGTGATATATAGATTTGTCTCGTGAAGCTAAGAATTTATTTTTAAATAAATCATTGGGGACATCAATTTTAGGCCCATATTTTGTAAAAAATCCGTTAGTGTATCATGTTATATGGTTGGACTGACGTTGGAGAGTAATAACCTTTCTGATGGTGTGATTAACCTGCGAGCTAGAATTAATAAGCCATTTATTGTGATCGAGCCATGTTCATTCAGGAATTTGTCTACTAAATTTTTGTCAGTGAGATATATACAAATCCGATTATTTGATATTCGGGAGCATAATATTATGTTTTTTGGTTTGACGACAGGTCCGAGTTGCAGGAGGTAATCTTGAATTTTGAGTCCATCGATCGATGTGAAAACAATAGCTTGCTCTTTTTTAGGAACAGGCAAAGTACTTTGGAATAACGCAATTGAGTAAGATTTCACTTTAGAGGAGTTGACTAGAGGGTTATTTATATCGTCGTTGTTGTACCTTTGCCCCCTTTGTAAAAGATTCTGGTGTCGCCTATGGTTTAGAATCTGCATATTTGCATATACTGTTGGGTTGAATCGGAGCCAGAGAATGTAGAATACGCTTATACAGTTTCTATTTCACAGTGAAAAAAATATAAATAAAACGAATAACGGTCAACTTCATGTCTTCAATATATTTCCAAAAGAAAAATCGTGAAATATTAACAAATTCATATTTCATTCTAAATTATTTTATATAGTAACAAAAATTCTAGCTACATAGTATGTACTGATAGATACAATAATGACATATTATAATAAAAAAAATAGAGCAGCTTCGGTTTCAGTTAAAATCACAGTAGCCTACAGGGTGTTTTTTTAATTAAAAATTTTGTCCTGCCTTATTTTCATAATTAAATGAAATATTACATGAAGTTCTTTTTTTTTATTTGAAAATTTGAGGTAATCACTTTTTCATGACTTTATCAAGTATTTCCGGTTCATCTCTTCATTTCCTTATAGCCAATATAAACTGAGTATTTTAGCATATTTTCCTAGAATAAAAAAGTGTTCTCAATCAAGTTTTCAAATAAAAAAGGTACAATAATTATTAAATGTATGAAATGAGAGGAGTTTGGAATGTTTATATGAAACACCCTGTATATTTTATTACATAAAAACCTTATTCTAGTGGAGTTACAATTAAAATTACATTCATTATCAAATGTAGCAAAAGTAAAGTAAAAATAAAAAACATTCCACTAGATGTTTGAACCATTAAGCAAATTTTAAAAACTGGTGAATTTGAATTATTTTAAAATATAGAATTCATACAATTTCTGCCTATGTTATTCTTTACTGAATTAACCTTATTAGTAAGTTTTCAAGTCTTAATTTTTACTTACAATTATTTTTTACGTAAATCCTAGTATTTTACAAACTTTCTTTTTTAACAAATTTTGAAGTCAATTTTTTTGATAGGTACTGAAAAATAATACTCCATATTATTAAAACCCTAGATCACAAATTATTATACAAAAATATATACAACGTTCGCCTACAATTAGCAATACATTATTATTTGGCATTACAAATGTTTAATAACTGCGCACACTACAAGTCTGTCTCTATCACCAGTGTTGACAACAGTTGGCAGTAACTTTTATTAAGATACTTTTTGGTGGATCATCATATTTTGACACTATTCCTCTACATCATGTAATAATGATTGTAAAATACTGTTATCAGTCAGTCATTTGATTTCCAAGTAATAATGCACGGCCGAACCCCTGACCTAGTAATACTGATAAAACTCGGTTACATTATCTTTCTAAGCTGGGCTTAAGAAATTGCATCAACTTATTGAGCACCTTTCCTGAGGGCATAGTCAATTCCGGTAATGCACATTTATCGGTCAGTCTATTGTATGCCGCTCTGACTGCGCCAGTTAACGAGTCTTTGAAATGATACGCCGTCCTGTCGACAGTAGATGAAGCTTTGATGCAGTCGTCCCCACCGAATTCGCATATACGATAGTGGTGTAGTATGGCGGTGTCCGCTGGTACGTTTAAGGTCCCATGGCCTGGAATGAATTCCCACACGAAGTGGTTACCTGGAAATATAAAAATAATTTTAACGTTTACACTTTATAACCGCCATGCATTTTTTATTAATTTAAAGCAATAAGGGATAACATGTGAAGTTTCGCTACTAGCTGACACTACTGAAACGTGAGGTCTGCATTGTTCATTACATTTAAATAGTTCGTGCATCATCTTCCAAAAATATTTTACCTAATTTGCCAAATCTAGATCAAAACGGTATTTTCAAGTTTTTCTTAAATATTGCAGTTTTAAGAACAAATAAATTTAGTCAATAAATAAATTAGTGAATTCAAATTCAAGTAAATAAACTGGTTAAATTAATAAACCTTAAATTGGTGTCAGAAGTATGATAGGTACTGTGCATAAATAGTAAATAAAAATTGAGGGGTAAAAAGTTGAGAACATTTTGTATATTAGTAGGTACACCACAATAGTACATAAAGTCTAGAAATAGTACATAAAATATATAAATAGTACATTAAGGGCCAGTTGTTTCACCTCATAGAAAAAATTGTTTGTACACTATAGTACACCAGCGGTTAAACCCTCGGTAAAAAGGGATAAAAAAACTCTGTGATTTAAAAGTGACCGAATTATGTCGGGTACTAGAACATCGTGACCTGGTGAAGACAGGAAAGAAACCAGAGTTGGCAAAGCGTCTTAAACAAACAATAGACAGTTTAGATCCGAAAACCTATATATTTTCGGATGATGCATTTTATTCTTTTTTTTTTTTTAATAAATGCCCCAAGTAAAGAACCATTTTACGAGTATTACAATCTGACCATTAATATCAATTGCAAATTTATTCTAACCTTATCTAGGGATGAAAAACTTCATAAACTAAGATTCTACTCACTAGTTTACTTTGGAGTCTAATTTTTTAGTTACATTATCACTGAATTAACTTAAAAGGCATGGTTCTCTTGAGCCTTCTTATTAGAATGGCATTGTTAATGACTAATGGCCAATTTTTTTTATTGTATTTTCAACAGTCTTTATTTTGAAGATTAGTATTGCGGCAGCACCAGGGTGCATCGACGATGTTCCTTAATACTTTATTCTGGAAACGTTGAATAACTAGGATGTTACTTTTACCAGCAAAGCCCCAATCCTGGATATCATACGTCCATATGGGTTTCAATATCTGCCTGCAAAGAAGCAATTTGTTGTATGTGCATACTTTGGATTTTTTCCTAGCAACCAATATATTTTTTTTATATTTTATAACAAGCTCTTCGCGCTTCTTTTTAAAATGGACTTTTCACTGAAGTCTAGCAGTAAGTATAATACCCAGATAATTTGCTGTATTGGCAGAAAAATCTGAGTGACGTTTATTCTAATAGAAATATATTCATTTTGTTGATTGCTTAAGTTGATATGGACAGATTTGCCTTCATTTAATTTTATTCGTCATCTTTTCATCCAGGTATTATTAATCTGGTCTATAAATTTTTGCAATTAGCGTCTTTGTGATTTTTTTCAACAGCAAGGATTGCAGTATTATCAGCAAATGTTGCGATAGTATTATACTCAAGATTAGGAATATCTCTGTTATACAACAGATAGTGTACTGGATCTAGTACACTACCTTGAGACAACTTCTTGGTCTAATTGTTCCTTATTTCCTAATGAAATCGAAAGATCAATTAGTTGTTGATTTAGATTGATTTTAAAGCTTTTTCAGTCTGTGCCTTTGTTGACTAGTTTAGGTAAATTTTCTTTCTTTTTATTACAGTATCACTCAATGTGAGAATGATCTAGGTTCATGTCCTATAGTTCTTCTGTAGGCATATAATTTGAGGCGATAATCTTGATTACAAAAAATCTATAAAATCGGGAATTTTGATCGAATATGTGGGCCAGTATGTAGGCTTTCTAGTTGACATTGTTTGACATTTGTGTTGATGGCATAATGCTAATAGTTCTTTACCTTTGGTTGTAGTCAGTCTAGATCACCAGTGAGTATGTTTTGAATTAAAGTCTTCTCCCACTATGAATCTGTATTCTTGGCTATCTAGAAAGTCGAGGTTGCTTCTTTATAGCATGTCTTGGTGGGCCTGTATTTGTTGTGTTTAATAACCCATTTCTTGATAGTAAATGAATTCCTTTATTATAACTGCACTTTTGCCGCATTATCTTTTGTGAAATGATGATGGTGCATTTTCTGATCTGTATCTGTAACGTGTGGAGGGTGGGTTACTCCACGGCACTTAGGCCTCACTAGGCCCATTTTGAATCCTCCTGAGATGATAGGCACCTCCTAGCTCGTGAGCCAGCCTACAGATTTAATGTAGTTGGCAACGTCGCCAAAAGGTCCTTCTCTTATATCGGCTGGTGTTAGCCGATACTCGCCGAACACAAATCTTCTAATAAATGAGAGCAACGAGCAATCGCAAAGGATATGCTCGATGGTCTCATCTTCTTATTTGCACCCTCTGCAGAATGCGGATTCTAACAGCCCCATGATATGGAGATGCTTTGGTACTTGGCAATGACCAGTCAGAATGAATGTGACTAGGCGCAGATTCTGTCTAGTTATAGTCAAGAATTTGTTTGCTGCAGTGTTGTCAGGATAACTTAAGAGCTCCCTGGCAACTCTGCAGTTTTTTGTTTCATCCTATCTTTCCTTGAATTTCACAAGAGAATTTTCTTTGATTAGGTCTGTCCCTGCCGATTTTGTCAGGCCGATAGAAGGGCCAGGTCCAAAAAGTATTTGGTTGGCTGCTTTCTTGGCTTGTAAATCAGCAAGACGGTTATCTTTCGATATGGCGTGACCTTTAATCCATCTTAAGGTGACCACATTGTTGATGAATACTTCGGCCAAAGCTTCGTGATATTCTAGTACTAACCCTAAATAAATTCGTGGTCTGTTTAGGGTGAGTAGTGCTTGTCTGCTATCTGTATAGATGAGTATGTTTCTTCCAGTGATATTCTTTCTGGTTATTTCTTTTGCTGCTATGTGAATCCCCGTTAGCTCTGTTTGAACTACACTGGCACTATTGCTCACAGCCCATTTTATGTTTAGGTTTAAGAATCGGGAGTATATTCCACATCTTGACCCTTGGTTTGTTTTAGAACCGTCGGTGTAGATATGAATTCTCCCTGTGGACGTCTCCTCGCAACCAAGTCTCTTATATTCACATATTCTACACTTATGTTTACTGCTCGCTTTGAGAGCATGTTATATATCCACGCACTAACCATTTGTGGAACATTCGTGTTGGTTAGTGAGTGTATTATCTTTGGGAAGGTAGTTTTATCAAAAGCACCTTCTAAGTCTATGAAAACACCCAAGGCGGACTCCTTATTGTCCAGGGATCTTTCTATCCGGTCAGCAATTAGATGAAGGGCTGAATCAGTAGATCTGCCTGGGGTGTATGCATGTTGGTGTGGGTGTAGTGATTTTGTTGTAATCACCGCATCCCTTATGTACCTTTCGCATAGCCTTTCCAATGTCTTTATGGAGAACGATGTCAGACTAATTGGTTGGTATGTTTTTGGGACAGTGTAATCCATCCTTCCAGGTTTGGGTATAAATACCACTTTTACCTCTCTCCATTTTTGGGGGATATACCTCAGAGCCAACGAGGATCTGCATATACCCACCAGGTGCGGTGTGAGTTCTTCCAGACACCACTGAAGTAGAGCTGGATACCGTCATGTCCTGGCGGTATAAATGGAGAGAAGCTGGATATTGCCCATCTAGTTTTTCATCGTCTACAATGTGTTTGGCAGTTTGACAATCACAGACAGATGGATTGTATTCTTCCTCTGCCCAGTCGGCCACGTCTGTGATGACCGAGTCAGGGAAGTGTGTTGCAATTTCCTCTAATATCTCTTCTTTGCAAAGTAAGGTTTCTTCGAATATCTCTTATTTGGAAAATAAAGTTTATAAAATTATCTCCTTAAATAATAAAGTTTCTTCCTTAGAAAGTAGTTTTTTCGAAAATTACTTCCTTAGAAAATAGAGTCTCTGAAAATTTCTTCTATGATGTGGAAAATAAAATGTCTTTCGTTGAGAAGAAAATAAAAGAAATAGAGGAAACAGAAATGCAAATTATGGAAAGTAGAGAAGAAGAAAAAACGTAACAATTACCTAGGAAATGAAATAAGAAATATAATTGTAGTTCTTTTGACTCCTAATAACTAAAATTTACATGCTTTTTTCATTATTACCAAAACTACAAGGTTGAGAAATAAATAATTTTGTGCTCTTTGAAATGATGTATCACTCGACCCCACTTTTCATTTGAAAATTTAAGGGCATAATTATCCCCCGACAGGGGTTTGAAGATATAGATCAAAAATATTCTTCAAATGTTTCCCCCTCCAAAGCAAAACTGACGTTTCCGAGCAGATATGCTTTAAATTTTACGAAAAAAAGAAAAGTTGAGTGCATATTTTTCGTTGGACCATCCTGTATATGTAACATATAGGAAAAAATTATTTTACGTGTGCATACTGTATTTCAAGAGAGAAAAGTAAAAAAGAAATATTTATTCGTATTATCAATATCGGTTGAATGGATTATAATAATATCTGAAATTTGGATCCAAAAGTGGGTTATACATTCAACGGTAAGAACACGCAAAGCACACGGGTCTGATTGAAGTGATTCTGTCAAAGTTAAAAATGAGTGAAATGCTGATAAATCGTGGTGTTCGGAGATATGCGATTTTTTATTCAAATAAATAGTCACTGAATCCATCACATCAAGATAAATAGATTGATGTCGTGCATTGTAACATTCCAAAAAACAATACGTATTTTATAGCAATCAATTCAGTAATTTAAGCATATTAACGAATTTTTCAACAATAACGCCTTTTAACAATGGACATTTTAGCATTTAGTTTTAAAATGATACTTAAATATACGTGTTTATACCACCTTAAGGTGAACAGAGCACTCCTTATAATTTTCGGACAAGAGTAGATAGACAAAGCCGACATGGGACCACATAGGGAATTCAATGTGTAAGAGTGAAAGGTACAGATTCAATGGGTAAGAGTGAGACATACGGTCTAAGGGTAAAACGGAGGAGTGGGGGGAGGGAGATTAAATTTCTGTTAACGTCGAACAGAAAAATCATGCGCAGAACGAAAGCTAGAAGGGCCTAAAACTTATATCTTTGTTATTGTTGGTTCGATTCAAACGGGAAAACCGGCATTATGTAGATAACTCGGTATAGATAAACGTCGAACAGAAAAATCATGCGCAGAACGAAAAGACAGAAGGGCCTTTGCGTGTTCCTCGGATATTACTAATCCGATTCAAACGGGAAAAACGTCATTATGTCGAGAACGCGGTATAGATGAATGTTGAAGAGAAAAATCATGCATAGAACGAAAGTCAGAAGGGCCTAAGTTTCAATTTCCGTTATTACTAGTCCGATTCAAGCGGGAAATAAGGTATTACGTAGGAACGTGGTATAGATGAACGTCAAATGGCAAACGAAAACGTCAAACAGAAATGTCAAACGGAAAGATTAAAGGACAAACGAAAACGTCAAACAAAACGTCGATTTTTCTTTTCAACGTTTATCTATACCACTTTCTCTACATAATGCCGTTTTTTCCATTTGAATCGGACAAGTAATATCCGAGAAAAACGCTAAGGCCCTTCTGGCTTTTCGTTCTGCGAATGATTTTTTTATTTTACGTTAATCTGTACCACGTTCTCTACATAATGCCGTTTTTTCCGTTTGAATCTGACAAACAATAATAAAGATATGAGTTTTAGGCCCTTTATGATTTTTCTCTTCAACATTCATCTATACCGCGTTATCTACATAATGCTGTTTTTCCTGTTTGAATCGGACCAACAATAACAAAAATATAAGTTTTAGGCCCTTCTGGCTTTTGTTCTGCGCATAATTTTTTTGTTCGACGTTAACAAACATTTAATCCTCCACTCCCCCCACTCCTCCATTTTACCCTCAGACTATATGTCTCACTCTTACCCATTGAATCTGTACCTCTCACTCTTACACATTGAATTCCCTATGTGGTCCCATGTCGGCTTTGTCTATCTACTGACAAGGATATTTCAAAAAGTAATTTTTTTAAAAATTAAAATTTTGGCAAAATAAATTAGGCAATAATATCTAGAATATGCATATATTTTAAAGTTTTAATTCCTTCCAATTTCCGAGAACAAAAATCAAAGGGATTTAAATTTTGAAATATCATAATGAAAATAAATGCATTCCTCAACAGCACTATTCTTAATATAATCCTCAAATTTAAATTCTTAATGTCTTGTTAATGATTTTTAAAAATTCGCCAAAATTAGTGACTAAAACGCCTTAAGTGCTATCTTTTGGTGTAACGTGCCTGTAACTATCGTATCGTACACTCTCAGTCATCATTCGTTTCTTGCAACGATTTATACTAGTTTACATCAGAAGAATGGCCACCGAGATCCCCAGATCTTAATCCTTTGGACTTTTTGTATGGGAGTACTTAAAAAGCAAATTTTTTAAGACCAAACCAGCAAATGTTGAAAAGCTAAAAGCACGAAAAAGAAATGAGTGTAGATTAATTTCGCCCCAAGTCATTAGAAATGTTCAAAACGAATTTAGGATATTGTCAAATAGTCAATGGACAAAATTATGAGCATTTGCTTAATTGAAAAGTTTAAATTCAATAGATTCGATTACTTGTTTTCCATAAATTTGTTACTTTTTATAATATTGTAAATAGCAAGGAATAAAAATTTGATATTTGGCAGCTATGTACAACTTTACAAACACTATAAAAATAGCCATTAAAATGACAGTCTTGCCATTTAACAAAATCAACGATGATGTCATAAAATTGCAATTAGAAATAATCGACGGGTCCGAGCATTTAAAAAAAAAACAGTATATGAACTATTGAATTTATTCCAAATTACAGACTCTCTCTGTATATATTATCACGCTAAAAACACATACAAACAAGCGGTTGGTCTTTCATACATTTCTCTTTTTTTTTTCAAAGTTTTAGTATAACAAAATTCCTAAAAATCATCCATTTTTACAAACTTTTTCACTTTTTATTAATAATTGCATGAAACGGATTTTGCATATATAATTTATTCATTAAAATAAAGAACTTACCGGCTTCAACAGTCATTTCAGGCCGACATATGTATTTTGACCGTTGCTTGTGTGGGTGAAGTTTCGTTTTGCGACGCGTCTTCTTCAGTGTGACCAAATTAGCGGCGACGGGGTCTTCGAAGTTATAGACGAAGTCGTCGTCGTCCCATTGGAGGTAAAAGAATGCGTTTTGAAACGAATAGGAACCGTGAGTTCGAGACTTGAGCCGACGACTGAGGTAGCTGTAAAGGAAATAAAAAATATTTTACTTATGACGACTGACACTCGGAAAACTCGGGCGCCAGTTTTATTAACATGGTGAGTTCTACGGACAGCTTGAGGGTTCAAGTTACCAGACTTTAATTTCTAAGAGAGTAGCAATAACGGGCTTTACTCAAAACAAGCCTGGTATATTCGGTTTTAATAAATCATATCGTTTGATATTATTTAAAATCACAAGTTTACAGATTAAATGTTATTAGCCCTTAACAATAATATTTATCATTAAAAAAATTAAATATCAAAGTTATAGGAACTGTTATCTCTCGCATATTGACTCTAGTATATTGAGCATTTATTACTACAGCCCTTTGAAAAGTTATTACATTAAAAAATCTTAATAATCTGTGAAATAAACTGCATATTCTTTTATAGTCTGGCGTTAAATTAAAAGTTTCACTGCAAAACCGTCTCCTGCTTTAATGCATTCAGAATATGCAAATGTCACACGTAGTCATTGTCCAACACCAGTCTATTTTATTACGAAACTCTTTCGCTAAATTGCAATCTTTTATTTTTCTAAACCAGGATTGAGCCAAATGAAATTTTCATGCAATTATTGCCACCAGATGCCGCATATTTTCACTAGCTTTGTGAATGATTATCTCAAAATCTAGCACTACGTCTGGAATGTTAATTTGAGTATAAATTTTTTTTAATTTTTCGATAGTAAGCAGCTGTTAGTTTGTTTGGTAATAAACAATATACAGAGTATCCTGAAACTAACCTACCATATGATAACGTTGAATCTTTGAATTTTTGATATTTCTTATTAAATTTGAAAACATTTTCGTTAAAAGGTAAATACTTTTATTTAATATCGATACGACGATGCGTCGATTTCGATAAAACCCAATTTGAGTTTCTATTGTTATTGTAAAATTTGCTAAATTTATTACAATAGTTGTATTTAAAAAATGACTGGGTTCTAATTTCTTTAAAAAGCGTTTTTCTACAAGGTAATTTTTCTAATTAAAATAAAATTATATAATGGAAATATTTTAAAGTAACTGCACGCATGTATTTCAATTCTAGTCATAGTCGCAATATTTGTATGTAGTTTGACAGTGGTCGTTTAACACGTTGAGTACGGCATACGTGTACCATACCCATGTCAGCCATTCTCAAAGGGTTAATTATTTAGGTAAGATGTACAGAGATTAAAGTAAATGGATGCCAGTATAATATAGACAGCGAAAATAGTTGGTTAATGCTCATGTTGGTTCTAAGAATAACAAATTCAATATTATAGGTGTCCACCCACTATGATTCCCTAATAAATCCTACAACTTCTTTTAGAATATTCTAAATAGATTCATATATTATTTATAACCAAAATTGGGTTAAAATTAATCATTTAACAGGGATAACGTTGCAAGCATTTAAATACTCAGCGAGTTAATATTTGTCGCCAATCTAATGTAATAATGACATTTTCTATGTTTATAATGACCTATCATATATTTCTTTATTTCCGAGATTTTTTCACAAGAAATTGTATGACAACACAACGTAAAAATATAAAAGGTGAACTGTCGCAGCACATAACCTCTAAAACAGATTAATTATTATTATAGGGAGTGAAATGTGTCAAATTTTGAGAGCCATCCTGATTTCAAATAAAAAAGAACATAGTATATATTTATTGAGTTTCGAATGTTTTTGTTCGAATTGCATTTGATCGAAAACATTTTTTTCTACACCCACATGGATATTAGCTTATCTACGCATAGATTACACAAACGTTATAATATTATTCCAATTATTCACTCTTGCATTCGATATCAGATATTTCAGTAATATTTCAAAGACAATGACATTTTTTCTTTTTTTTTCTGAAGGCTTAAATTATATTTGGTTAAGACTAAGAGTCATGTAACCTCTTCAACTTCGACATCCATTGTGAATATCTATTGAGAATTAGTAAGATTACTTTTTTATATCCACATGGTTATTAACTATTACTACGCACAGACCAGAAAACGAAAAATTAGGCCATTGTGTTCAACTGAACGAACATATTTCATATCCATTCTACTTACAAATAAAAAATAATAATAGAGACATACAAATCTATGCAAAAGAAAACATAAAATATTTAGGAATAACTGTAGATAGGCACCTTAGATGGAATTTACATGTTGATAGGGTTACTTCAACTTTACGTAGCTTACTATACAGATTTAAATATTTAAAAAATATATTAGATCAAAGTCAATTAAAAATACTATATTCTGCTTTAGTAGAATCGCGTATATCATACGGAATTGTGGGATGGGAGGTTTGGCGGATAATCACTTAAAGAAACTAGAAGTATTACAAAAGAGATTCCTAAAAATAATATTAAATAAACCATTTCTCTATCCCTCTGATACATCCTCTGATACATTGTATCAAGAATCAAATAACCTTGATATTAGACAGATTTATTTTTATAAAATAGTTACCTCTATTGAAATAGAAACAAACAGTCATATTCAACATAACTATGAGACTAGACAAAAAACAAATAAGTTATTAAAAACAGTATCAGCTTCAAAAACCATTGGTCAAAGAGGTTATAATTATATTTCAAAAAGGCTATACAATTTCCTTCCTCTCAATATTCGAAGTTGTAAATCAAAAAGTATTTTTAAAAAGAAAGCTAAAACTTTTGTATTAAATTGTGATAGAAAAGTGATTCATAATTTAATTACGCCTTAGTGTTTACATAATTTATACTAAATTATTTATATATGTTTGTGTGTTAAATATTATTGATATTTTGTATAATATTTTAATTTTAATTTTAATACATTAAAAATTGGAGACGAGCAAAAATGGAATCACCCACGGACAGGTCATACCTTTGTGGGTTACCATTTGTTTACTCTACTTTTAGTAATAATTGCTGATAAGGATTATATGTTTATAAATTTATATTAATTAATATGTTTTATTATCTGTTGTGTCATCATTTTGAGTGAATAAATTTATTATTATATTATTAGTAAGATCACTGCACGGATATGAACTCCAGGAATTACAGTTCATATTTGGTCACCAGGCTACTATTATTTTATTTAAATTAAATAGGTGACATTTCTCTTAAACTAATTGTCAGTAGATTTTTTAGTTATTGAGATTAAATATAATTAAAAATAGGTGATTCTTGTAAAGAATCAATAAGTAATAGCATTTTAGAAGATATAAAAAAAACCATAAATTTTAATAAAACTATATAAAATCAATTTAATTAAGAGTATTTAAAATAAAAAGTTAGGTGTCTTTATGAAGCTAAGGATATTGTACTGAGTTGCCATGCGAAAGATCCCTGGTTCAAATCTATGATTGAAGACTAATTAAATAAAATATTCTTTGATAAGTTAGTAAAAGACAAATTATTTTTAAATTAATTATTTTATTTAAATAACCAAAATTAATTTGTAAAATTTTTAGATTTTCGTTAGTGAATCGTAGAAAAAATATACTGTACAGCTCGAGTGGATTGTCCGTATCGCACTCAGACGATTGAGAAGTCCGCCTAAGGTGTCGTGCTCAAACTATAATAGTGATATGGCCATCATATTCACTATTGTTGCACAAACTACCATTCTAGTTTGGTCTTTTCTAGTGAACTCTATTAACTAAAAAGTAGCTCTCCAGTATAGCTAATTTCTCTTGGTTTCTGGTGCTTATATGATTTTTCTCTATTACTGTGAGTTCAGTCATGCTCATCCAGGAGCGGATCCAGAACCTACCCAATTTAAAACGTGGGCTGATTTTTTTTATTAGATTTCAAGGATATAGCAGGAACAGAAGTTGGAAAGGCTTTTTGTTGGTAGAGAGGTGGTATACGTCAAACCACGTCGGAGGACGCGGTAATGCTTGTTCGCCAAATATTTTAAATTATTACCGGCTGAATCGGGCAAACGTATCCGTTTATGTACTACAAATAATTATTTAAACAAGGAATAATATATCCTAAATCATTATTTTACAAAATTTCAATAGCTATTCATAATTTATTAAAATATTTACGCCAAATTGTTATTAGAATTTATAAAATAATATTCTACGCCAATGTTTCACGTTCACTTCGGTTAGGTCCGCGTCAAAACTGGCAAATCATGTTTATGAAGTGGGAGAACTGACAAAAGCCTTTCCAATCTCTGCCCCTGCCATAAAATGTATCAACTACTAGTAATATTAGTCTTAAGGAGGGGGGAGAGCAATTGCCCCGTTCCACCCTTGGATCCGTCCGTGTCCCCATCTTCAAACTAGTTGACAAAGTTATAGTACTGATTATCGAATGTGAAGGTTCACAAGAAGTTATTTTTTGTTTTATCTTTGATATTTCGCAGAATATTCCATACTTTAACGTTGTCTTAAATTTTTGTACTTCGAATAAGATTTTATGCTTATATATAAAAAAAACCAGTCCAATAGAACACATTCATCTTTTTGTGTAAGTAGAATTAAAATTTTCATTAATTATATCAAAAACAGCTTACGAACTATTAAAGTACGAATTAGTTTTACAAAAATTGTGTTAAACTATGCATGCATTGAACTCTGTACTACCTAATTGAAATAGAGTGGTGTGTTATCAAACGTGACAAAAACAGGATAAGTTAATATGGAGGATAGCGACATTGTGAAGCGAAACTATGTCCAGTTTTGTAAAATAATTATAATTATAATTAAATCTGAGCATAATTATTATAAATTGGTAGATCTAAATTTCGAATAAATAATTTTCGTTACTTTTTATTCGATTATTTGTTATTTTGATCTCTGGTTTTTCGATTAATTAATATTTGATCTTTTACTTTTCGATATTTTAAAATTTTGATGTGTTATCTCATTTTTGGTTTCGATCAGAGCGACCCACATTTTTTATTCTTTACTCATAATTATTATCTACATTTTCAAATCATTCTTTAAATATAAACCAAAGACGTTAAATCAACCTAATACAACG